TTTGCTTACTGTGATGATAACCATTCTAGCATGTAGATGGATAAAATCACACCCATAATTCTAGGAAAACACCAGAACTTCATTACCCCTCAGATTAGGCAACTGCTCGAGACAATGCTGCTTGCTACCTGGACAAGAAACAGTTTGTTGTATTCGAGGGATCTATAACTGTGTTACATGGTAATGACACAATAGACTTCATCTACATTAAACTGTGGAATACTACTTGTGACTTCCTCTACAACATATATTCTTGCTGTCCAATGTTCCTATTGAGTAACTCTCGTATGGATCATAAGCTACACAGTACATCTGAACTAAAGATGCCGATTCCAGACATAGTTGAAGCATAAACCTCTCCTTTCGTCATATTACGATCATGCTATACACATACTTTGCTTTCCTTTCTTATGTCCATCGACTTTATTTAGGTTGTACTTATTCCTATCAAGAATTGACTAATACCAATTTAAACATAAAAATTGCAGTTTATTACTGGTAATCAATAGATTTAGAAATAGGTTTTGTTCCTTATTGGCAGCATATACATTCTTCTTTCGCCTGTCTGTTTATTCATTCTCTTTCACATCACCTAGTCTTCTCTTATTTTTTTCGTTTAACTGCTGTAATTTATATTCATTTGTCAAACCCATACTGAACTGATCCCTTTCTTTCTGTCCTTGCACTTTTCCCTGTAAATCGGATAATAACTTTTCATAATCATAGGGATTCGATATTCCCCATACCAGCTTTTTTTAGGAAGATGACTGTTATACTGTAATCCCGTAATTTCTTAGAGACTGTCAAAGGGTCGGCTGCTTTCTCACTCTTACTCAACTCCAACGGATATTGCCTTACACCTAACTTCATAACTCATAGTTATTGACCCAATTGATGGTTTTGCTAGGAGCACCTGACATACTGCACGATCTATCAGTGTTCTGAATGCTTCTGTATCAACCAGGAACTCTGTCTCTTGCTCTTTTAGTCCAACAGGCACATACCAAATCCCACAAGACCTGAAAGAGCTGGGTTGACAGTTACATTTTTTGTACAAGTTATTCTTTTAACTCACCTTAAGTTGGAGATCAGTTCTGACTTAGGATCCTGTAAATTCTGGAGCTGTATCAGCAGTATTCACTGCTGCACATTTTGATCTGTCAGTTTTAATTGATAACCTTGTCAAATTTGTTTGTCTGGAAGGTATGGATATTTTGCTTGAAAGTGACCTGATGCTTTACAAGAAAAGCATGTGATTTTCTTGCTTCCTTCCAAGACAACGTCCAGGTAGAGGAATCAATGGCATAGATTGGGACATGTAAAATATTGGAGGACTGGGATAACCCTACCCATCCATCGGATACAAGAGTGGTTGCATCACAACACCAGGAAAAGGGGGTGTTTAATTAATCCTCGACTGGACTGAAACCTGGGGTGACACGAGTGCCTGTGTGGGGCAGTCTGTTTGAGATGTGACTGGTTCGAAGTTATCATATTGCCACAGAAATTGTCTAAGAATGAGGGTGTTTTTCACATTTATGTGATGCTGCATCATTTTACTGAGTACCCCTTCTACAAACTTGTCGAAAATGATATCCTCATCATTTAGTGAGACCATTGTAAGCAAACTCTACCATGCAACTGGTGCAGGTCATCCACATAAGAGGTCAAACCTTCTGTGGCACCACCCTTTCGAGTTTTGAATTTGGCCAGATGGATTGCTGGTTTCCACGGGGTCAGACCTTTGGTGCAACTCAGTAATGACTGACAGGTAGTACCACAATTACTGGTAGTTATGCTTCAGGAAACAGTGTAAGTCCTCCTTTGCTGTCCCCGTGAATGTCACAAGGAGATTTGTTTTGCATCACTCGCAAGAAATCGTGATCCTGACCAGAACTTCTCTCTTTTGACTTCATCAGTTGACCTAGATATTCTTGATCTCGTGGGTGTAGCATTGTAGCTGCACCAACTATTGTTCAATCCCTGGTCCAGGCTGATAGAGCACCAACATTTTCTACTTCCTATCCACTCTGTGGTATGCTCAAATCGAACTGAATTAACTTCAGAGTAGTGGGATGAGTATTCTTAACAGGAAGTTCGACAATATATTTATTATGAAGTGTTACTGTATCTCTGAATAACTGAATCTGAGAAAGAAAGAGACTGGGCACAAAGTAATACACAAAAGAACAACCTTTAATCAAACTGTAAACAAAGTGTGTATAGACTGTTATTAAACACGGAACAATCACTTCTACTGTATTTATATCTTGAACTGTTGGGGCCAAAATCATCTACCAGACTGTTTAAGTTCAATATTCGGGGTAACATCGGCTTAATCCAGAGTGACTAGCGTTACCCACGTGACTAGTCATTCTAATGCAAACCTAAGGAAGGTCGTAAACTCAACGTTCCACATGAACTACCTTTGAAGGCCACTGCTAACTACATTCTTTCATAACATACAGCTTTACAACCATGCCATTTCTGGCAGAACATGTGTAACCTCAATAGAACGACATGTGTTAAGTGAAAATTTGCATATGTAAAAGAATAAAAGATATATTCAAAATAGATATTAAGATAAGAAGGTAGAAACGCATAGTAAGTTTATTTACCACACTTGTGTCGAAATAATGTTTGTTGAAAACATAGTTCCTAATCAACAGAATTTCTGCAGTGTTTTAATATGAGTTTGTATGGAAATCGTTTTTATAATTTAATTGTATTCGAACTGATAACAGGGGCTATGTTTTATTCAATATCGTTGAAAAATATCGTATTAAAACACCTACTAGTTTAAATTGCAAAACTCCATTAAATGTTTGAGTTGTTAAGATAAAATACATAACTTATTATTATTTTTTATTTCTTAAACAAGGATTCCCTTACATTATTTGTGTACTGAAGTAATTGTAACTTCTACAAAAGTTGCACCTTAAGAAACAGTTTATAACATAATAAGTAATACCTTCATTTATTATACAAAAGTGTTGGAAGACAACGTCTTATGCTATTCCTACAATTAGTGATTAACATAATTTAATAAGTGGAAATGTGTCATTTTAAGCGTCACTAAACTCTTAACAAATACTAGTGGTTAGGCATTTTCAGATACAAAGTTGGCTCTTCTTCCACTAAAAAAATCACTGTGCAGACAAATATTTCAAATTATTTTATCATTTGACCGTATGTAATTAAATATGCATACAATGCATGAACTACGAACATAATGTGGATAAATTTGACTTCAGTTAGATTTAACATTATATTTTATTTATTTGATCACTTAGGCAACAATTGCCGTAACTACCATTGTGGTATGAAAAGATCTCTTCGTCCTATAGTATATAATTCATATTTAAAATTTCACAGAGTTCGAATTCAAAACACGCTAAACATAATCAGGGTCATGCGCCAATTGATTCCTTGGTGTAATTGTGGGTAGCCAGATCCAGTCACAAATCCATTTCTATATTGAAGGACCCAATTCTGAAATTTCATCTTCGTTTGGTTGTTTACTAGTTACTGATCGTGTCTGTGACCTTTAGTTTACCTTTGAGTATCGTTTACTTTTATCAAAGAGCTTCTTATTCAATTATTTTTTAAATTCGTTACAATTTTATTTATTTACTTTATTTTAGCGACAGTTTTCATCACTACTGTGATCATCTATTCTTTTTTCCCGTCTCCTCACCCAGTAAAGTGTTTGTGCTTCAGTTTCGTACCGTGCACTGTCTCTTTATTCTTACTGCAACGAATCACTACGCCTGTCCTTCCATTTACTAGAACCATAATCTCCTGTAACTGTGTGCTAGATTTATCCTTGGGAAATCACACCATCTTAAACAAGTTTTGCTATAGGATGTCTCCAGTTCACTCAAGGATTCAAAACACTAGGAGTAACTATTCTCTCTGTATCGTGAATGTGTGTGTGTGTGTGTGGGGGGGGGGGTATTTGGTTTAGCTTGTTTGAAATTTCGCGCAAAGCTACACGAGGGCTAGCCTATTTAGCAGTGAATACTAGAGGGATGGCAGCTAGTTTTCACCACCCACCGCCAACACTTGGACTAATCTTTTACTAACTACTAGTGGGATTGACTGTCATATTATACCTGAAAGGGCAACCATGTTTGGTGGGACGGAATTCAAACCCGCGACTCGAAAATTGTAAGTCGAGCGCCCTAACCACCTGGCCAGGCCAGTGGGATATAGGAGTGATTTTTGACATTTATTTAATGTATGTATATATATATATATATATATATATATATATTCTTTGTGTATCATATGTGAGCATACGTATTTTCGTCAACATCATATAGTGTAATATTTAATGAAATGTCTGTCATATTTCAATTTGTAATCTACTTATATGTTAGCATGACTCATTTTAAAAATGTTTCCTCATTTGATCCTGATAATTCTTCCATAAAAATTCAATTTATAAACGAAGTCTACATTTTGAAAATTATAATGAAAATTCTCTAAACCCTTATTGACTGCTGATTTTGTCATAAAAATTATTTGTATAGAATAATGTGTCGTGTACTTAAGAGACTGATACATTGGTCCGCAAACAGGATATCTGGATTACACGTGGAATATATTTAATCAAATCATTATGATCCAGTATGTAGTATTAAATATTTTATTGACGTGAAAGACACTTTTTTTGACACAGAAGAAAGAAAAATGAAAAAAAAAAGAGCGAGAGAGAAAGAGAGAAATAATTGTGAAGGTATAAAATAAATAGTAAATACTCGACATTCAGCACATTCCAAATCCTAAAGTAAGGCCACCCTGCTTCTTCAGCATCAGCAAGTTACTTAGCTATGAATAGATGAATTAAAACTGGAGCTTATGTCAATTACTCTAGTTTTTACGTGTCTGTAATCAAATATCTAGTAAGTATAATACTGTTTATCTTTTATCGTCTAATTACTGTTACGTAAGCAATTTTTGACGCTTATAAATACCCGCTAGATGTCAGTCGAGTGTACTATACATGTGTAAACATGGCAGAAACAGATAGCAGCGATGACGAGGTAAGCTATACTACTATTACAATTTACAAATACTGTTTATGCTAAGACCTATTTCCAAACTACAAAGTAACAGTTATGCTTTTTTGTTGATAAATATATATTTTTGCCATGATTTACAGTATATTTCTGCCTCTTTCTGAATGATTAAATGTTACAAATTACTGACTGTAGCTGTAACTTAAGTTACACAGTAAGCGTAATTTACGTTTAATCAGTATAGTATATATTAACGTTAGGTCTGTAGTGTAGCTGGCAACGACGTTTCTACATCTTACTCGTACACATGTGAGACGCTGTGCCGCCAAATATCACCCCCGTCCAAATCTCACCTTATTATAGAAATTTGGTATTGTTTGTTCGATTACTTATTTCAATTCGTAAATACTATAGCTACTTTGACTCAACTGACAAACGTGCAGTACACCATGTTTGTCTCTCGTTTTGTCACAAGTTAGACAGAATCTTATATAAATACAGAAGTATACATAGCATAAATAACACAACATAGAATTATCAATTAACTGTTTAGTGTAATTAAAGTGAAAAGTTCAAGCAATTACAACTTTACATTTTACTTCTAGTTCTATTTTAGAATAGTTAGATTTTGAGACATGATTATCAAGTGTTTGTGTGTTTTTGAATTTCGCGCAAAGCTACACGAGGGCTATCTGCGCTAGCCGTCCATCATTTAGCAGTGTAACACTAGAGGGAAGGCAGCTAGTCATCACCACCCACCGCCAACTCTTGGGCTACTCTTTTACCAACGAATAGTGGGATTGACCGTCACATTATAACGCCCCCACGGCTGAAAGGGCGAGCATGTTTGGTGTGACGGGGAGTCGAGCGCCCTGGCCATGCCGGGCCAATTATGAAGTGATATGAAGCAATAGTTGTGTGCAAATTGGAAAGAAAATATAATACTGAATTACAATTTTACAGTCTTTGGTTCGGAAATTCATAATTTTGAGTGGTAATACTTCTTACTAACATCGTGTAATAGAACTGGCTGGCCAAGGTATAAAAGTAATAACACACAATGAAAAAAATATTTATACGCTAGTGTAAATTACATGTTAAAATATTAATATTAATATAAAAAATTACTAAGCCTACTAGTACTATCCGTATCAGTACTAACTCTCTTACTCTTGTTAATCTTATGTAAGTACAAGTCTTAGTGCGATATTTTTTATAAGAATTTCTATCTATTTCTAAACATTATATGATCATTAGATAAAGAGCTGATAATTTAATTTCTGTGTTAATAAATAACATTGTACAAATGAAAATTGTTACATGCTCGGTGTTAGTAACACGTAAAGTATTATCAGTAGAAATCAGATAGGCTTAGAAACAGCACATTTTATAAATGATACAGAGAAATAGGCCGTTTATATTACATGAAATAATACTTACGAAATATATTTGATCAAAACCAAGAGTGAAAACAGAATAATTAGCAGAAATGGACACATAGTGAATTGACACTGAAATATACGATGGGATGAGGTTTGGACGGGGGATGATATTTGGCGGCACAGTGCACTTTGTAAGGCATGCTTATCCGACTATATCTTGCATGTTGTGGAGGTAAAGGCAACATTAGCAAATACTAAAAATAGCAACTACTAAAAACGAATCCTCATGATAAATGTTATCTGCTATATCACATATATACATAACTTACAAGATATATGTGTAATCAGTGACAATAAAAGTAACGCACCGGAATTCACCTGCGGTATTTATAAGCGTTTCTGTAAATATAATCCTTGAAGTTGAACGTTACATTTAAAACTACAAATCAAAGCATAACAGGCGGAAATAAACAATATGGGCATTGTATATAATAACCAATACAGTTTTCATTGTTGATATTTCTGTTAATATCTTATTTGGTTTTAGGCAGAAAGTATTCAGTGAAGGTTCTTGATTTTCGGAAAATAGCTTAGACTGCTATTACGGATCAGAGTAGATAAAAAAAACAACAAAATGTTCGAATTTATATTATCAGTGTTTAAACGTGTAAAATGTGAGTATTTTAAAGATGTTTTATAGTTTAACAAAAAACGATAGATTAAAATATACCAATGAGATTAAAATAGACATTTTAACTACTTGAAAGTTAAGAAAAGCCCTAAAAATGTCATTTATAATATTTACACGTGTGAAATGATACTTTTAATATGAATTCGTGATTGTTTATTTCAGGCTATTTATATATCTGTCTAATTTAAGACAGGTTTAAAAAGTATAAAAGAATAAGTAAGTCGAAGTTATGATACTGCGCCATAAGGTAAACTATCGTTTTTACTGTTAGACCCATAAGGTAAACTATCATTTTTATTGTTAGACCCATAAGGTAAACTATCATTTTTTATTGTTAGACCCGTAAGGTAAACTATCGTTTTTACTGTTAGACCCGTAAGGTAAACTATCGTTTTTACTGTTAGACCCATAAGGTAAACTATCGTTTTTACTGTTAGACCCGTAAGGTAAGCTATCGAAAAGGTTGTTTAAGAACGTAAATGGTAAACCTTCAATTCTCTGATATATATATATATATATATATTTATTGGTTTCTATTTATTGTTTATAGTTTGAAGAATTCATTTTTATTGATACTTTTAACCTTTTTTTATATACAATATACAAAATACAAAAGTAACAAAAAACAATCAAACAAGATAAGGGATGCTCGTATAAAAGTATGCACTGTATGTGTACTAAATATATATATATATATTTCCTTTAAGTTATAAATGTACCTTTGTTAAAAGCATAAAATATATGTATATGGAACATTTCAAACCTCTGAAAAACTTAGGATTAAGTTAAATAATCGAAAAAATCCGTTATCGGCCAGAAAGTTGACTTGTGTACTAGTATTCATGGTTGTGTAAGACTTTATAAAATAACGCCATTATACTAACTGTCACAACAAACACACACACATCTGTTGTGTATCGTCATTTCGTTTTAGTGGTGATGTAAAACAGGTGAACCTACTAGTGTTAAGAGGAGAGGAAAGCAACATATGGACTATTTTCTCGAGCGTTTCAAACAAGTTGCTTTAAAAAAGATGGACTCAATTCAAGAATTAGACATAGAAGCTGAGTTTAGATACTCCACTACTATATTTTGACAAGGAACAATTTGATGGTGGAGTCGTGGTTGTCAATGGCTTGTGTTGTAGATTTGATCCTGGGGTTAACTAGGTGTCCATGTTTTCTGTAAAGATTGCAGTAGTCAAAACTAAATGATCTTTATACAGGTTTCATGTTTTATTGTTGAAAGTTCGTGGCCAGTATTTCACTAAGGTTGATGTGCGCTTTGTGTGGATGCAGGAATGTGGATATGCATTCCATTCCTTGACCATTGGCCATCTTGTTTTTGATCGCTACCGATAAGCGTTTTTAGGCCTACTGCTCTCACGTAAGTTATACGCGAACATGCATCATATCCTTTAGAATGTTCAAAACTTATTTGGGATAAATCTTGGAGATTCTCTGATTATCACTGCTTTTAATTTACTGCGTTGATACAGAGGGAAGCTTCTTGTGCAGGAGAAAGCATAGTTAATTTGTTTTTTTTAATTTGTCATGCTTAAATAACGATATACAGTCACAGAAGAGCAGTGAGTGTCGGATAAGCCCAACTTCTGTGAAAACACATTTTTCTGCTGAAGAGATACGGTAGTCACATGAATCTGTTATGTGATGTATATTCTGCACATCATATAATGTAACCATAAGAAAATCCTTGGGATTTCCCCGTGATGCATTATATATATATATATGTATGCATAACCTTAGTTATATATCTTTGAGTGCGTTCCAAAGCAGCGGTGGTACTTTGTATCTAATACGTTACATCGCACGTAGCAGAAAAACCTTGTTTCTTGGTTTAAAGCACACCCGATTCCTATTCCAGAAAGCTCTATTATAATAAGGTAACAAAGAAAGTTTGATTCACATACACTCAGACAGAATGTTTTCCAGCATGAACATTAGGAGGGTTTGTTAACTAAAACAAAATAGCTCGACGAACTTCGACAGCTATTTAAGAAATCTTACACACTCTTTTAAACTCTGAAAAGTAGAGGAAGTTTAGATCACAAAATAAATTGCTTGTACAAGTATCTGTCCTTACCGGTGCAGTGCTAAAATCCGGGGTTCGATTGCTGCGGGTATATAGCTCATTGTGTAGCTTTGCGCAAAAAATACAATAACAGAAAGTCTTCGCTGAAACTCAGAATGACGATTAAATTTGTATAATAAAGATTTATCCTGAATTCGTAGTTCTTTACACTTCTGTTTAACTGTTTAGTTTACATTCTGCATGTTATGTCTACTGATATATATACACACACACACACATCTTATTTAGTTTGGAATGTGGTGTAAACGTGTGGCTAGATGTCCGCGACGCTAATGTTTTCTGTAAACCCCAAGTTCAAAGACATTCGTTTAAATCTCCTTCTTCAGAAACTAAACTTGTTTGATTATTTATATATTTATTTTAATCAGAGAAACACGGCGGAATTAAAGTAAGCGTTAACTTAAAGAGATTGTTTAAAGCAGTAATGCTGACCTTAACAAAACGAAACTATAAATTTATGTATTTATTAGATATAAACCACACGGCCTTTATTAGAGCATATCCATAAAAAATACGACAGTGAAGCCAATCCAACTAAAAAAAAATCTATGATGTTTGACATGTTCTACCGCCTTTATAAAAATGAAACAATTCATTTATAAAACGAATTGTAATTTATCGAACATGGTATAAAATGTAGCATTTGATAGCCTTACAAATATAGTTAAAGCAATTAATTGTTGATTGAGACGATGTATTTAATGCTTTTCTTATATTAGTTTTAATAAATTTGCTGAGCTCGTACATGAGGTCATTTTTACTTGAAATCTTCATGATGTAGGTTTGTTTGTTTTGAACTTCACACAAAGCTACTCGAGGGCTATCTGCTAATTTAGCAG